TGAGTGTTCAGGATAGTGAAGATCAATAAATCCACAGACATCATTGCACCTTGATAGTACCTTGTCTTTCAATTGGCAATGAGAATGGAATCAATGACCTAACAATGCAAAATATCAATAATAGTACAATAGGTATAAGATAATAATAAGGGATTGAAAACACTCACATCATGAGCAGCAACCAAGTTCTGGAACATTGCTAAGTTGATGTTCCAGCGCACACCCCATCCAGCAATAGGGGTCGGACCTTCATAGCCCATCTGAGCAGTCTGAGCTGCAAATTCACCACGGAGAGCATTAATTTGAGTTAACAGAGCATTAATATCCTTGAGCTGGAGGGTAGGTTAATGTGATTTTGTCAGCATACTTGAGTAAGATAAAATGACAGAAGGGAACAGAACAAAAACAATGAGATGACAAACCTTGATAGCTCCCTGAACTACTACGCAAGTACTAGATGGAACATATTCATAACTGTGTCCATCTTCATGATTGGAAGTGGAGTCGTCACAAGAATTTGATGAAACCTGAGCATATATCCTGTCATTGGAATCATCAGTCTCACAAACTACTTTGTTCATATCATCATTGAGAATAATTGATGGAATTGGAATTTGAGTGTTAGGTGGAGTAGTGGGTTTGATATATTGGCAGCCAATCCAATTGAGTTCAAGCCATGTTTGACAACCAGTCTGAGCTTATGAGCATAGCATGGACGTGGTTTTTGGCTGAATTCCATTTGACCTTCTTGTTGGACTCCGCAAACATCTCTTCCATCTCTACAGCCATCATGTTATTGTTGGACCCCAAGTCTGTTGTTTGAGCTAGCATGTAATAAAATCCAGGTCAAATTAGTTTTTTTTCTAATACCATCATGTCTGTTTTGAGGTAGCATTTCGGCGTGCTCACACCAATCAATTTCCGTAGAGGGTGGATATAACCTACAAACAGGTCTGAGAGCTAAGCATACAATTGCCTTTGTCAAGAGGTTCAGACAGCAAGAGTGTTAAATGGGCTCCTTTGTTCATAGTTCCATTGACAAACGGTACATTTTTGATTGTCTATTATTATTAACAAAGGATTTGCATTTTCTAGAGACAAATTGAATAAAGATCCGTTCAAATTTATTACACAACTCTCCGTGTGAGCACATCAACGTGCTCATGGGGGATGGACATGGTGTACAATACAAAAAATGAAAGGATGATAGGCAAAAAAGATAAAAGAACTTATCTTCGTATGAAGCTTGTTAGTAATCAGGAATTGGCCGACTGATTGAGCCTGCAAAAAGCCCATCTTGTTCCAGGCTACAAGCTTGAGAGTAAGGTGAACTGATCTATAATTCCAGTTGTTGTCGATGAAATTGGCGGACACTCCTATAAAAGCATATCTATTACCCTTGGTAGTCCAAACATTGTGGACAAGGGAAAACTTCCCAGTATTATGCTACATGAAAATGTTCCAGAAATCAATTGATGAAATATACATAAATGAAATATAAGGGTAGTAGAAAAAGAAAGGAAAACTTACGGATACCAAATTGATCACAGAAAAACTCAAGTTGAAATAGTGCTCCTTGGCAATCCCAGCGGCTCAAGTTGGGGTTCTCAAGTCTGCTTGGCGATTAGCAAGCTTGAATGCAGCACGCAGGGGACCATCACAAAACCGATTAAAGGGAAGTGCATGCCATAAGATCCAGATAACAAGGACAGTGTTGCAGAGGTCAACACTAAAAGTGGCTTGAGAAAGGAATGCATCAAGGGTTTGTTGTCTGTTGGCTTTGTTTGAGGCTTGAGCAATCTCGGCTTGATCTTGATCCCAAGTGTTAGGCAACTTGACACCAGCCTGAATGGCACAAGAACGTTGGGGACAGGCCGCGTGTCCTTTAGCTCCATCACAGTGAGCGTAAAGGTTGTAGTGACTACGTGTACTACATACAAACCGGCCCCTACACCAGCGACACTGGTAACTTTGCAGGTTGTTTCCAGACTTCAACTATAAGAACAAAATGAAATAAATGAAAGATAATCAAATTCAGATAACAAGTTGAAACGAATGAAGAACATAATATGAAAGAGTGGAATCTACTTATCTTGCCTTGAACATGAGTCGGGGGGTAGAAAATTCCCAATAATTTGGCAACACATTCCAGCTGAGCACGTCAAACACCCGGAGTCTCAACAATTTTGACTTCAGACTCCTGATTGACGTCCATGACTTCAGGAACAGTTGCATACAGTGATCAGAAGAGATGGTCAGTAATGGTAATGATATCGGATGAAGAAAATAATGACCTTACCTTGACTTGTCCCTTCCTCGATTTCTTGGAAGCACAGCGAGTTAAGCCAAGTGAAGCACCAGATCCACGAGACAGTGTGGCTCTTGACAACATGGACCTTGACTGACTTACGGGCCTTCTTCTTGGTCTTGGTAGGAGAAGTAAAGTGGCAATTGTTGGATTCATTGATGATTCCATCATTTCCAATGCCATCGGTGGTATCAGAATCCCTACTACTAATCTCATACACGCTAAACTTGTGGTCAGAATTGCCAGTTGAACGATTAGGAGATGGGCGAAGAGAAGCAACACATAAATCAGGCAATTGGGCGACGAAATTGGGTCTGGGTTTACTGGCAGTTCTAGGACAAAGTGTGGGACCACTGGTAGCTGCAGCAACTCCTGACAATGGAGCAAGAGACAAGGTTGGAGGTAACATATTGGACTATAGTGAAACGGGAAAGTTAAATGGTTTTGGAGGGCGTATTGTGATTAATAAACAAATGATATCAATTTAAAATATTAGCAAAACTTTCCAGTGGATGAAGGTTGGCTGGGAGTAAAGACCGGAAGAGAAACACACATACAATATAAATACAATCCAGAAGAGGATGTTCTACTAGGACTATGGAGTAAGCCATGACCCCAAAATCAACAAGGCCAAGCCCCATGCAAACAGCACAGGCTATAAGATTCAAACGATCCAAGAGTATAACAATCATACAAGAATGAGGTGAGAGTGTTTTTGTGTCAGCTGAGGCAGAAGACAAAAAACCAACAACATGAGTAGATAGCAGAGATTGAACTCACTTGTTTTTGCATGGTGGTTTTTGAGGTGAAGTAGTGATTGGTGGCGTGATTCAAGGACAGGGATTCCTTTCAGATATCAGATATATCAAATATCAGACAATATCTGAAAGGAATGGTGGTATGGTGTAGGGTGATGTTGGTTCTTTGGACGCAGTGGTTACTAATCCGCTGCATGCAAGATCAGACAACTTGCAGTGTGGCGGTATCTCCGACCGCCCCACTAAATCCGCGCTCCCCTACATTGAAAACAAATCAATGGGAGTACGGGCGGGGCAAACCGCCCCCCTTCTGCTCCCCTCCGCTTTGTCCAGCGGGACACTTCAGACATTGCCGCAGCGGCTTTTTGCGGCGGGTCGCCTTGAGTGTTGACTCCACCTCCAACCTTCACAGCCCCTACTTCTACATGTATATCAGGTTGTGTTCCTCCATTACCCTGTGTAGGCCTTGTAACCCCCAGTGATACAATCGACTTGGCTGGAGAATAGGGAGGTGCTTGAGGAAAGTCGAGTGGTACAGAGAAGAATTCAGGGTTATGCTTAGTGTTGCAGTCCCCTAGCCACTTGTCGCAGGGAGTCTTACAGCGAGGACACAGTCCAATACATACTGATGAAACATATTTTTGGGCCCCAGAGTTGAGTCCAGAGTGTGACCTGTAAAGGAACTCAAGTTTGCCCAAAACCACCAGAGATTTTGGACCAATCTAGAGTTTCTGGACTGGCACAGGCCATAGGGTCTACAGGTCACAACCTGGAGCCCAAAAACGTTGTTTAATCAGTACACAAAAGGGGTATTGCAATGAGAATTATGAAAAAATCACAGGAACAGAAAGCAGCAAGCAGAAAAATAATGGACCTTTCTTTATAAATTTGCCTTTTTTTCTGTCATGTTGGGTGTTTGTTACACCCAAATATGCCGGTACTTTTTTTGTCTGCACAGACAATATTACTTTTTGTGTAGTGTATACAGCCGTTTGCAGAATGGTTGACTTTCAAAAAAAAGGAGACACTTGAGTTTTCCAAGAAGACCTTGATTTTTTCAGTTGATTCAAAAACTGGGTGAGCTTTTAGTTTAACAGTGCCGGTTCTTTGTGAAGGTTTTTTTAGTGCTACTTGGCTTTAATTGCATACAACACTAACCAACACATCAAGTAAGAGAGAGTAGTTTACTAGGGTTTTGTGGGCGGTATCTCCGGGACCGCAACAGCTGTGAGCCCGCACCCCGCGCAGAGCCCGTGGGTGAGTGCTGCGATCGGGTCGGAGCGTCGCGTCAAGATTCGTTTTTGATAACCAACCAGCTGAAGCCTGAAACCATTCAATCGCTTTCCACACGACATGCCTCTATCTGAAGAACCCAGTCATGCACTTCATGTTCACTCTCCTACTCTGAAGTCTTTATCTCTTCCTTCCAAAATTATTCAGCGGCTTGACAAAGGTGATGTGTTTTTCATTTTATCATCTACCCTGTCCACCATTGACATATTCAAACAAAGCTAACACATCTCGATCCCGGACCTTTGAAAGCCGGATTCACTACCGTGTCAGAACTTGTCTTAATCCAGCCAACAGTCCTCAAGAGTCGTGTTGGACTTCAAGATAATGAACTTAAGCATCTTTTTGATCTCTTGGCGGATACCTGCAGTCCGCCACCGGTGACTGTGTTGGATCGGATCCGATCAGGAGTTGGAGATACCATCACTCTCGGCTCTCCGGCGCTTGATAAGCTTTTTGGTCAGGGGCGTGGTATCCCTACAGGTCAATTAACAGAAATCGCTGGCGAATCTACAGCTGGGAAGACATGCCTGTGTCTTCAACTCTCACTCACAGTTCAGCTCCCTAGACTTTTAGGAGGCTTACGCGGTAGCTGCATATATATCTCAAGCGAATGTCACTTTCCTGCTCCCAGATTGAAACAAATGGCTATGGCAATGTGCGACAAGGAAGATGTACAGGCTAGCTTTCAGTCGGAGTCCTCTGGTGGCACTACTTCAAACGTTCCCGACCTATTGGCTCATAGGTTGATGTCCAATGTCTATCCCAACCGCATCTCGGATACGGATGGTCTGATACACGCCATTCACTATCAACTACCTGCGCTGATCGCAGGGTTGACCGATCGCACCTCAACGGCGAAGCCTGTCCGCCTGATCGTCTTGGACTCGATTGGCGCCTTGCTTCGTCCTGATGGGAACAACACGAAAGGAGACTGGACTCGTAGGGCTAGCCAACTGAATCAGATAGCCGATGGATTGAAGCATCTCGCTTGCCGCTATAATCTGGCTGCTGTTGTTATTAACCAGGTCTCTGACGTCTTTGACGTTCCTGTGCGCTCGACGCGATTGAGTGCAAATAAAGCCAAGCGTACACGGCTGACCTCAGCCGATCCCTCGCTTAGTGCGAATGACATTGATGGAAACATGAACCCTCCCACTGGACGTACTGGTCTCATGGTCAGCACACACTTAGTGCCATCTACATCTAGAAACGAGACTTCCAGCTCTTCCCCGAAAAGTCCGTCGGAAATGGACCAAATTACTTCTTCAGTACTGGTATATGAAGACCAAGCCCAGCACTTTATGGGCCGGGCACCTTCCCATCGTAAAGAAGCGGCTCTCGGCTTACCATGGAGTAACGCGATCAACTTGCGGATCATGATTCACCGTCTGACAAGCTTTCGTCCAAACACCACCGGTGTCCGTATCACTCATAGCAGGGCAAGAGATGTAAGAGAAGCACGAATGATATTCAGCCCATTCGGAGGTCAAGGGAATGGCTATGACTCAATAGGTGTACAATACGTTATCGCTACTTCCGGAATAATAGCCTGGGAGGATTCCCTATCCACAGACCCGATTTCCACCGGATGAGTGGCTTGTAAGCACCAAATATTTTCGCTTTTATGCTCTAGTACCTGCCCCACGTCTTCGAATGCTCGCCATATCAGTCAGGAGAACACCATATGCAATACGTACAGGTAGTTATCTGTTTTGGTTACGGGGTTCTGGTCAGTACCCCCACCCACACCGAAAAACTCAAGAGTTCACCATGAGGTTATTATTTTCGCATGGCACAGAGTCTTTCTGACGGAGACTTATGGAGCACCTCGCACGATCTTCCGCATTGACTAATCGAGACATCACAGGATGCAAGTGCCATGGTTTCACTTTCAACTTCGGACTTCTCAAGCAAAACTCGAACGTTCACTTCGTGCACCAGGCCTGCATCGGTCTCTTGATACCCATTCTGATCCGAGCGTTCGAGCCTCGAATTGACCAAACGATATGGATCCTGCCACGAATCGAAAAATCTCCGACGATTTGCTCCGGGGCTATGGGGCTTTGCGCCCGTGTCTCCTAACAGAAAAGCTGAAGATCTAGCCACTTGAACTGGGTATCTGGACTTTTTAGGTCGATTCTCACATTTGCCCCCACTCAAGGTACAAAACTGAAATAAAGCCATGATCAATCTAGTCTCTAAGTAAATCGGCGACTGCACGAATTAGCGTTATCTTATTAGCTGAATACTCCCCATTTGTTCGAAATATTGTGCACCCCTTTTATCATGTCAAACATAAAAAAGTATGTATATTGCTCACGATAGACATGTCAAGCATTGTATGTGTATCTGTCTAAGTGTAGTTGGGATTTTGATATCTTTGCAAAGCATAAAAAGTTGCAAAATTACAAACATTCCAATAATTAAGTGAGACCCACCTTTATCATGATGGGTGTCAAATCCTGTTCATATCTGCATTATATTCCATTGGCTGAGTGTTGAATGATACATTTTCTGAGGGACATGTACAGTCTTTCCAGACATTGGTAAGGTAGAGCGGGTAGCAAATGATTGAGTCAAATTCATCATCTGTTTGATAAGATAGGACTGCTCAAGTACCATACATAGCTCAATCACTGGTCCATCTCATCTGACTTTTTCTTGTTCTTTTTCCGTTTCTTGATTATAGGGTCGAAAAGTCCATCAAGGACATCTATTTCGTTGGCAGCCGGTTCCTCCATTTTTTTCTTCTTGGGTTTCTTGGACTTCTGTAACGGTTCATTTACCTCAATCGGACGGCCCGTGTCTTTTTCTATTTCATTACCTTTTGGTTCTTCGAGTATCTTGGTCGTAATCTTAGTTTGTTCTTCTTTAGTAGGCAGAGCGACGACTTTTCTCGAAGGGAACTTCTGTAACATAGCTGCCTTCCATCCATTCCTCTGTCGTTCAAAGTACGGTAGTTCAAGCTTTCGTACAAAGTAATGACCGTAAGCGGACTGTTGTAAAGCATTTTGTTGATCGACCAAACTAGAAGCGATTTTTTCTTTTGTGAATACATCAGCAACGGCCCAACATAGGTCGGCTATCCGACTTCCGACACGATCATCAGCCAGACGATGATAATGACCAATAAAGCGTGAGATGAATTGACGTCGTGGTGCTGGTGAGATGGTGGGCGAGTTTAAAATGCTGTCGAGCGCTCTAGAAGCGATAGTATCACGAGAAAAGCTCATTGTCACAGAAAGCGGCAGTAACATTAGACTGTTGACGATGGATGTCATAAGATCAGGTACAGCGAGTTGTAAGATGCCTTGCAATAGCAAAGAGCCTTGCATATTGCTATCCGGAAGTTTCATATCGTTTGTGTCGGTTTCAGATGACTTCAGTGATTTCTCGATTTGTTGAAAAGCAGTCGTCTTTCGGAAATAATCAAGCCTCATTAGGGAAATCAAGCAAGGAAATATGTATGGCTTCTCGGTATCTTCAGTCACTCCGAATGCTCGAAGAAGGCTTTGAATAACCTCACGTTGTTCAGTTAAACCAAGATTCTTTGAACGACTAACCAGAGCTTGCAAGACTCCTGTGCGGTAATTATCAATACAGTCAATCATCTTGGGAACACATTCTTGTAAGGCGGGTAAAAATTGGTCGGAGTCCAATCTTGAGACCACTTTGGCAGTGAGAAAATTGGTGACAGGATGATTAGAGAGCATGCCCATACGGTGGAGGAAGTAGGTAGAATAGAATTGAGAAAAGTAGCTAGGTGAGAGTCGGCTGATTACACATTCCATCACATGTGAGGCGGTGGTATCTCGTAAACAAGTCTCGACAAACTCTGACCGAGTTTGAGGTCCTAGAATTCCAAGCAAAGATTAGCAAATGCACTGATCGGAATGAGATTATCAATAGAGTGACGAAATTTGAATTCCATTAGAAAGGTATGACACACCCTGAGATGTAATAAGACCATCGAGGAGATTGTCAACCATGGATCCAGGCTTTTCGGCCTCGCCCTTATCAAACTCCAATCCTACGAGTACCTGCAACAATGCATTTGTGGCAGGATTACATGCTGCATTGCGGGTCCCTACTCCAGGTGCTTGACACCATGTTGATTTGATAGTGTTGTAAAGTTTAGTTCCCATTTTGTGCAGAGGAGCTGGGACAGGCGAGACACCGTCACTAATATCCTTTTCATCCGCCTGATCTCTGTGGAATACCGAACGAAGGTGACCTTGCTTAGACCTCCATTTTGCTGATTTGCGCGATCGAGCATGTTCAGCTGAGACAGGCTTTCCGGAGACCAAAAGGAAAAGCGTGAGAAGCACGTGTGCTGCAGTTGGATGTTCCGATAGTGACTGTATATTGGGCATTACGTCCTAATTTACACTCGAAAATGGAGTTGTCAGATACATCAATTAATTTTTGACATCCATCACTAACCTCACAAGCTTGAGCTAGCAAAAGGTACATGGCAGGTAGATCACCGTGATCGTGATCAGCTTCGTTACTGTTCGATTGTTCAGGTTTGCCATGTGCTTCGCGTGCCAAAACGGGAGCTGATAACGCAAGTAAAGTTTGAACCACATGTGAGGCATGACGATGTGAGATCAAATCTAGAAAGTGAACCATAAAGCGATCCGCCAAGACTCGTTTAGCAAAGTCGTCCATACTGTATATGAGTCGCTCCAGAATCACGCTGGTCTCTGGGTCCGCCGCTAGAGAGAGTTCATGTCCCGAAAGTTCCTCCAGCGCAGACCGCAAAAGTAAATTCCTTTCATCTTCTTCATCTTCTTCACCTACTTCTTGTAAAAGATCTGTACAATGAGTGGAACCAGCTCCTAGCCGTTCGAGTTCCTGAATTTTATCATCAATGTCCCGCCAATAAGCTTTTAAATCGGGACTAGGTTCTGGAAATTGTGGCTCTGTTTCGGGTGCAGGAGGCTTATCGGGAGCTGTGATTTGATTTTGTTTCGTTTGAAAGGACTCTTCGGGTACAGCTAACTCCAATACGTTCCGGTAGATCAGAGGTTCCAGAGGTAAGTTAGATGCGTCATCCTGCGTCTTTTCTGGCTTGGCTCTGTTGCCTCTACCACGTTTTCGAAACTCTCGTGGCATGAGACGGCTCGCCGAAGGGATGTATTGCGGAGGATCAAAGTTCTTGGATTTCTTGTTTTCGAAGTGAGGAGACGAAGTAAATTGTGATGAAGATGATATCTAGCTGAATAGATGGCTGAGTCAAGGAACCGAGCGCTTTCTGGGGTTTCTGTGTGTGCTTGGCTGAAAAATTTCTGGCAAAAGAACAATAGCATACTACACTAGGGTTATGCCTATACTGAAGTATGGGTATATCGGGTACATACACCACATGTAAAGTGCAGTGTATGCAATTGAAAATTGAATTGACCTCACCTCAATGCTACAGGTGCGTAGTTCAGTACAGATGGAAACCAAAAAAGAAGTTGTAAAAGATAGTCATGATTTTACAGTAATGTCTACATGACTTTTCTCTCTTCAGCAGTTCAAACCACACAAAAACCACAGGAAGGTTTGGACATACATATACAGGAGTCACTATAGGAGTCATACATAGCACTATGTTAGAGTCAGAGCATCTCCAACGTTGCTGAATCCGCAAACATGCACAGGCAAGTTTTTTCCTCAACTGGACAGCTGTATTTTTTATTCAGTGACAGCGCCCTGCAACACACAACTGAAGTTATTTCTCAATTCCCCATAGGGGTAATTTGAGGTTGAACCCACATCAACAATAACCCAAAAGGTGCAAACGTGTACAATTCCAATGGCACCACCCTTGCTTAAAACAACCAAATAGGTGATGACACAAGATAATAAAATGTAAATAGTGGACACATGCCTAAATATTAGTCATTGTCTGGACAAAAATTGTTGAGAGAGTGTTTTTCAGAGTATTTGGCCAGGTCAGCAAATTTGCTGACCTGAGCATGGGAGCGTGTCAATACCCAAAAAACAAGTTGGCACTGTGGGCCAGGTGTGAGACCTTGTCCTTGGCATTGGAGGACAATTTTCTGAATAGCTTGAATACAGCTTACGTTTTTGACATAAACTTAATGTTCAGTCATTCAGATTGGGGCGTGTTGGAGATGCTCTCATAGGGCTATATCAGAGCTATGGTACTATAGAGCTCCTGGGTGCTACATTGGAGAGCCAGATAGTGATAAGGTGCTCCGGTATCCCAGGGCAAAAAAATCAAAAGAGATGATAGAGTGTAGCACTTGATAATATGGTGGACCTGCACTACACTATACAAAGCAGGAATATAGCAGGGTGTATTGGAGCAGCCCAATGCACCCATTCAGGGAAGAAATTTCCACATTTGTGCACACAGGCCAAAACAGGGCCACATTCCACTTGTATGGGTCATAATCATGAAGCACTCAACCTCACTATCTGTCCTTCACCTGGGGCCACAGCTCAAAAATAGTCACTTCAACAGAAGTGAGATTTGAACTCACACTCACAAAGTGAAGCAGCTAAATCTCTGGAATCAGTTCTAAACTGCCGCCTTAACCACTCGGCCATCCCGTCTGGACGGCTTCAATGCTGTTCAGTCTACATGTTGTGGTGGGCACATCCATTTGAAATTAAGGTAAGGTCAAAATCTGGGATGAGAAAACATGACAAGTTGGTGCAATATGTGAAATTAAAAGCACTTAGAAAGTAAAAAATGCTGCAAGTGTCCACAGGGAGAGCATTTGAACTTCAAAGCATTGTGGAAGTTGAGCGGCTACACTTTTGCACCCTGCAACACCACCCACCCAAGCTAAAACAAATGTCCCACATAGGCCTGTACAACCCATTGCCTTGGAAATTCATTCCCATTAGTATCTGTCTATCCCGCAGTGCTGATTCAGAGCAAAACCAAGTTGAAATCTTCACAAAATACAATAATCACAGATTGAGGGAGAATCATATTTCCAAAGCACAGATTATTCCCCCACAAAGCACCAAGGACTCACAAAATATCAATGGAATACCAGTACTAGTGGAAGTAGAATCAAGGTGTTTGTATAGTTTTTTTTTCCTTATTTTGAACTATTGGGAAGCCAGTGTAGCTACCTTCAAGTTCCCAGGCACTGGTTCTATCTCTATATCTCTGTATCTCTGTATGTTTTACTCAGCTCTGTTGATAATGTATAGCCCAAGTTTACAACATTTTATTATATTTAAATTTAAAATATAATATATATATATATATATTAACCATGCATCGAAGATACCATCAGATAAGTAATTCCAGTCATTTACAACCATTCATTTATTTTTTGTTGGACACTTGTTATGTGGAAAAATGATTTATGCACCATTGGTCTGCTTGAAAAAGCTGGGGGCAAGTGTGGCAAGCTTTGTCAGCCGGCTCAAGGTCAAGGTGGTGTGCACTTTGGGGTCCAAGATCTGGACCCTCAGGTCTTTGAATAGCATGTGCATGGGAGTGGTATTTTCAACAATTCAAGAACTGGGTCAAATTCAAAATGAGTGGAAGGGTGAGAGACAGAGAAATGCCAGAATTGGAGGTGCAGGAGTGCATTGTCATGTATCTTATGTACACGTCCCCACGCCTAGGATTGTTAATCATCGGGTTTGCAACAGGCCCCGGCCCCGCCGCTGCAGAACTTGAATGATTACGTAAACCACTTGGAGGGGACTGTACAGTGACCAATTAGTACAATGGTGAACTGACAGAAGTGGAGATGGGAAAAGCAAGTTAAAATTAATGATCCCAAAGTGGTGGACTGTGCTCTGCTTTAACCCTCATTTTGAGCGTGGGTCTCTGCTTGCACAGCCTTTCAAGAATTCTGCCCAAAGGAACAACAGCACCTGCTTAATTCCATGAAAAGTACAGGTGAGCAAATGGCTCTAAGAAATGTGGTACCCAGAATATTTAGGTACAGGGTAAAGGAGAATGGGGAAAACAAATTTCCCCAACAGAGCCTTATGAGTAAAGAGAATTGCTGTCTTTACTATTTCTCCTCACGCTCAAATCACAATAAGCAGAAAGATAAGGTAGAGGCAGAAATAGTCTCACTTTTAGGACTTTTCTTTTCCTCTCACCCACCCCTGCACCCTACCACACAGAAAGCCTACCATGTCAGATTACCAGCAGCCTACTGCCCCCCACACATGATGTAACTGAGAAATATCAAAGTTACATAGCTCATGGTATTATGACCAAGGTAGCTTAAGTTTATAGCTGTATGAAATATGAAATGACAAAACTAAGTTGAATAGAAAACATACAAAAAGTAGAAACCTAATCAAGAAAAGAGAGACAAACAACCAAAGTAAGCAATGCAAGACTCTGGTTGGACTGGGTACATATTAAAAGTCTTATGTATCACACCAATGGGGCTGACTGCATTGAAGCTTTTTTGAGGTGTATTTGGCAACTGTATGAGTTGCCAGCTCAAATATGGGAGTACATGGTTTTTGCAATAATTTGAACCAAGCAAAGATGTGAAACTAGAAGGAAAAACAAGCCATTCTGGTAGTCATTGACAAACCATAAGCATTGGAACCACCAACAACTCAGATTCTATTGATAAAGAGGTGTACTTGTGATCTCACAATAAGAGGAAACCTGATCCTTTACATAGAGGTGCAATATTTTGGGACTTGATATATATGGACTTGAAAGCAGTCCTCTGTGGTACTTAAAGTGCAGTTTTACTTATTCTACACAAGTCAATAGTCCCCAGACCCATTTTCACAAGACTGTGATTGAAAAAAAATGCCAGGGGGTAGCAGTTATATAAGCCTTTACAATGGGAGAGCTTTGACCTCCTAACATTTAGTTACTTGCCTACTTAACAGAGGGCTTCCTTTCAAGCAAAATTATCATTCACTATAGCTTAAATTTTAAGCAAATGTTTGGGGTTATATCCACCAGGGAAGCTGTAGTAATGATTACAAGTACAGCCGGGTCTTCGAAAAGAAACTTGCAGTGAATGTATTGCTTGGAGTCAGAATACCAACCAGAGATATGTTCAGATGACGAGCTACTAGCTGAAAGCAAAGGAAGCATGGCGTTGACCATGTACCATAGAGCTGGAGATATATATCAGATTCTGATTGTTTATTCCGGAACCCGATGCCAAATTATTCAAATAATCCTGCTGGTATTTCACCAAGAATTGATACTGATACTGGAAGATTAACCTCGGCAATTGTATCTTGTCTTGAAAAGCAACTCTTGTAATTAAAGGAATCTTAATTTCTCCACTTGGTCAGCTGCGGATTCAGACTGAGAGTCTCCACTAAATGGATATCTTTCAACATATTTTTGAATCTTGTTACTTCCTTTCCTGTAAAAACAATAACATAAAGTGTTAGATTTCGGGTCAACAAGTCCTAAGGGGTTTTTCCTACACGTACGTGGAGAGATACCAAGTTAAGAGGTGATCGATGAATTCTCTTTCTGAATAAATACCATATTCATCGAGTCCTCCACTGTTTGCGGTTCGAGTACGATAGCTGCGAGGTGGTTAAAGGGGTTCCGTCGATCAGAAAGACGAGTACAGTATACTGATCTGAACGTAGGACTTACGTCAGCCAATTCTTGAATGCGCGTCGGTGGCTATCTTTTGTGATAATGTTCATGTGGTTACGAAAAGAACTAATTCAGAAGAAGATCATGGAATCCAATTCAGTCTATAATTCACGCAGCAGAGATCGGGATGGGTTTGAGATAAACAAAAGTACTTACTCAATTTTACCTAACTTTTGGCCTTCCTCATAAAGTTCTTCAGCCCTACTGACCGTCATAGTTTGCAGTGGTCCACTGCTCGATATGTATGATGAAAGTCTTACGTCGTCAGCTAAACCCATTTGTGGTCTGATCCAAGGGACGACTTACAGTTGGTCTGCAGTCTTGACCAAGCGATGTACAAGTGAGCCTGAAGTTGACTGGTTGAGTGGGATGATGGCTGAAGTAATTTGGCTTGCACGTAGAAAACAACAAATCAAGATGAGCAACGAGTGACACGTCCGTCTTTGAAGCCCGATGAACATTGTCTCGTATCTTGGGCACAATCGGGAGTTTTTCAAAATCAGTAACTTGGTTCCTGGATGTGAGTCGCAAAGAACTAATCATCATTGGTTTTATACTGAATCTGATTCTGAAACTCATCCTGACCTCCCCTCTTTTCCTCGATATCGTGCGTCTCGGCGTCAGTCGTGTGACGGCTCTTGAGTCTTGCTTTCGACGACCTTGGGCGGTTTCGCCCGGAGACCCAGAGGCTCTAGGGCTCTACTCTCTGCTAGCAGACCTCACCCTACCTCACCTCACACACTAGTGTGTGGCAAGTTTTGTCCTATGGCATATCACCTAGAGTGATAGAGTACGATATTAGGGGGTGTCAAGTTCAACTTTTTTACGGTAAAAACCGTAAAAAACTTTCCCGTCGTAGCACAAATTTACGCAAAATTTACGAGAACGGGAAAGTTTTATCTATCCCGTTCTCGCATAAACGTAAACAGATAAGTTTACAACATAGCTTTGAAGACTTAAATTTGACCGTTTCACTCTTGGAAAGAGGTGTGCTTGATAGTGGATGCAAGGACAACCTTGCATCCTCTTACCAGCAGTTTTGTCATTACCGTGTGGAAGATCGAGGCAAAAAAGTAAAAAAGCCTTGATCGTGGTTTACAAGCAATGATAAAAACTCGGGAAACTTTTTTTACAGTTAAAACATAAAAACTTTCCCGTCTCATAGTTTTTTTGCTGTAAAAATTTGAACTTGATACCCCTTATTAGGGGGGCTCAAGTCAAAATTTTTTACTACTTTTATTGTAAAAAACTTTTCGCAATTTCATAAAATTCACGCACAATTTTATGAAATTGGGAAATGTTATACGACATCCCAATTTTTTTTGGAATTTGCGTAAATTTACTGCTCAGAAGGAGATCCGAAAGAAATTTTTTGGCCCTTTTTTACGAACTGGGAGAAGTTTTTACAGCACGGTACTGTAAAAAACTTTCCCCAATTTTTTAAGAAAGGGCTGTAAATATTTTGACTTGAGCCCCCTTATTAGGGGGTTTCAAGTTGACTTTGTTTTACGTATATTTATAGTGCTTATCGCTGAAAAAAAGGAGATGTAGAATGGGGATGTGCCCCAAAGATTGAAATTTGAAAAGCAAGAAAAAACTATTGATTGTTCCAAAAAAATATAGACACAGAGTCCTCAATTTCACAATTCCAAAACCACTTTTGGAATCCAAAAAAGGCAAGTTTTGGTGGAGGGGATAGGTTTTGGAGATTTGATTTGATTTCCGTATTTTCAGGGGTAAACACTATACGCTACAACAACTAGCCTGTTGTTGTAAATATGTGTGGATTTTTTAAAGTTTTAGGTGTCCCAAATTAAAAATATGTTGGTTTTACACATATTTTTTGATGAGAAGCTAGGGGAGCTCAGGTCAAGATTTTTATGGTGTTTTCTTATAAAATTGGGGAAACCTTTTTATGGTACCAAGTTGTAAAAAGATTTCCCGTTTTGTAAAACAAAATGAGAAGCAGTGGTCAACAGCTTCTTGAGAAGCCATTGATCCATAACTCTTTTTCTTTTGTGGGTGTTTGATACTTATGATAACAGTCTCAACACCTTACTTTGCTTTTTCCCCTCATTTTGTTTGTCTAGTGTTTTTGATTTTATAGCTGTTTGGTTTTTTTTATTGCTGTCAATTTGCGTAAATTTGTTGCTCAAAAAAATTTAGGATGTTGTAAAACCATTCCCAATTTCATACACTTTTGCGTAAATTTTATGAATTTGGGAAACGTTTTTCACAGTCAAAGCAGCAAAAGAATTCGACCTGAGCCCCCTTGCCCCAATTTTAAAAAAATACGCAAAAAACAAACAAACTTGTGGGTTTCAAGTGTTTTTTTGCGTGATTTTTGGAATTTTGGACAAGGTTTTCATTGAAAAACTTCCTAAAAGCAGTGCACTTTTAAACCGGGACACCTAAAAAGGTGTCTTGCTTTAAATAATTTACACATAGTAGCAGGGTTCTAGACAAATGAAATCAAACCCAAAATGTGTTTTAGGTGTTGCTCGGAAGCCTTAATTTATAACTCATGTTTTAAAGCTTCTAAAATTATAGGTCAATGCCTATGATTTTAAGAAGCATGAAAAAACCCTGTCTTTTTTTGTCTCAAGAAAAGGCATGTGAGTTGTTTTTTTCTACTTCTCTCTTGTTGAGTCCATAACAGCAGATAAAATCAAACTTAACAAAGTCCAATCATGCCTTGGATTTTTTTGACAACTAGTTGTTGCCGAGGCACAAGGGACTTAGGTGCTTGGCTCAATTTCTGGTGTGGTGAGTTTTCAAATTTAGTAGAGGAAAACTTGACCGTGCCACTCACCAAAAACTAGATTATTCAGATTTTCCAAAAAAATCAACACAAAAGTTTTCCTTGAGAGGAAAACATTGTCTTCAAAAATTGACCTACTGTGCAAATGTTACAGAGTTCTGCGTATGTAGCTCAAATTTCAAGCTACAGCCAATGGGAACGGTTGGAAAGTCAAGTCCTCAATGAGAACTTTGATGAGCATCAAGATGACAGGTGAAGTGAGTAATTGGATCGAGGAAGAGCAAGTCTTGCCTTTCGCATATCCACTTTTTTGCTTTCATTTGAAATGGATACTGAGGAAATGGAGGAAAACAAAGAAAATCATTCAAACTGGTCTTACCCATCACCCGTTGTAGTATTTAAAGCTCAACAAGAGCTTTACAACACCTGAGAAGGGATGATCTACTACGTGTAATATAGTAGAAGTTGCCTAAAGACTGCCTTCTTCAAAGAAACCAGCACAAGGGCACTTGCTGACCACTTTGTGATAACAGAGAAAAAGATAAAAGGCACCAGAGAAATAAAGCAATACTGTTGTGTAGTATTATTCCCAGTTTTTAAGCGCAAAAAGTCCACACACTATGTTATTACTAGCAATACTGTTGTTAAGTATTATTCCCAATTTGACTTATAGTCTTTAACACACGTAAATAAATTTCTCCTTGCTTTGAAGGGGCGAATTTAAGTGATCTTAGTACAAATATAGTAAATAAATGATGATTTTATAACACTACAACAAAGGTATAAGATGCAGAAAGGGGAACAACAATCCCAAAATCATCAAAGGGTACTTATATCCACATGTAACAACCTCTACAATAGTCAACAGCTTCAAAAACCAGTCAAATCCGCCTAAAGAACCCTAAAAACCATGTAATGACACAATTTAATGATCTTGTTACTAATGTATGATGTAATTTTCACAGCCAAAAGTGATCAATGACGCAATGATTTAATGTACAGCACTTCTTAAGATGAATACAGGTGATTTTTTCCTTGTAAACTAGCTGCAAATCAATTTTTGAGATTACGAGTTTTTTCAGATGTGCTCCAATTTTTGATTACTATAGTGCATCTTGTAGCCCTCGTGATACTGATCATTTATGCCACACATATGACCTATTTCTGATGAGTGATGAGTAAGATATTGAGTTGTGAAGTTAAGGTTTTTGGTGTTACATGTTGACTTGTGACTGTAAATTCGAGATTCACACCAATTTCTTATTTCCCTTATAACCTTGTACATACACCTCTGTTAATAATGATTTAAAGTTTGTACATTATGTAATACACTCTTCTGCGTTGAATGAACTATCTACCAACCTAATCTGACGTCATTTGACATATGTAATAAGCTGAAAACCTTCATTTTTGACGAAATTCACCTATTTTCTTCACTTTTCACAGCTGCTACTCTCTTTTTCTTGCTTGTGTAATATGACATCATCTTCCACAACCTTAAAAATCCCGGAAAATCCTCTTGGAAACCTTAATTTCCATCACTATCATCATTACATATGTAAACTACACGTATAACCCTCGTTTACCAACTTCGAGAAATTACCTTTCTTCTAATAATTTCTGTTTCCCCTTATCAACCTTGAAGATTAAAATTGTTACTGTATAATAAAGCGTTGTTTTTTCATATTCTAACCTTAATAAGCCCATAACTTAATTATTAATACCCTAAAAACCATTTCTCAACTTTTACACCTATATTTTTGAATTTTTCTTATCTTTTCTTTTTCTGTCTTTTTGTAATAACTTTGTAAGTAAACTATGTTGATCTTAAGAATATATTTGAAATGAGATGATATTGAATTAATAAGTATACATAAGCCTCTAAGAGCTTTAATTGATCTGAAAACCTGCATTTTGAATTTCCTGCTATACTGAAGTTTCCTAATGACTTGGTAAAGCAATGATGATCAATTTTCTTGATTGATACCATAAATAGATCACCACACCGTGCATATCTTTTGTTTGTTCAAAGTAGGCTGCAAGGTTCTTCAAGCCTTTTATTTTGCACTGAATGACTCAGCTTATCTCAAAGTGGAATGAGAACGGATATCAAGGGGATTCTTTGATACCCTTGATGTTCAAGTGTATGATTTCAATTTTTGGATTACATATGATCACTGTAAACCACAGTGAAATTTCAAGAAATTTGAAGACAATGTTTTCCTCTCAAGGAAAACTTTTGTCTTGATTTTTTTTCGAGAAATCTGAAGAGACCAATCTCTTCAGAAGAAGCAGATCTTAATTCCTGCTTTCTATGTTGCGGCATAATCCACTCACTAGTGAGTGGTGTGGTGAAGATTCCCTCTACTAAAATTGGAAACTCACCACACCAAAAAACATGGCAAGCGCCTAAGTCCCTTGTGCCTCGGAGATGACCAGTCATCAAAAAAATTCCAAGGCACGATTGGACTTTGTTAAGTTTGAGATAAAATGTACTTTTTTCCACCATGTGTACCTTTGTCTCAAAGCTTGTTGTTTTGTTATAAGACGTTAAGTGGCCTATTTTTAAACAATTCTTATGACATCCAAGTGAGTTTTAAGTAAAATTCATCCTAAAAAAATCAATTGGATGTTGTAAGATTTCTGCTTGGAATTTTTGACTTGAACCCCACTATTTATGGTGTTCAAACTTCAAAATTA